TTAAAATTTGAGATTAAATAAAATGTTTGGTATATTAGACAAAAATACTGAATTAACTTATCGAATATTATTGATTATATGTGAAATATTTGGTATAATAAGTATTATATTGGTTTCTTTATTTTATGCTCAAGGCCTCTATTCTAATTATTATTATGATTGGAATGCAAATCCATTTAGTTATCATCCAGTAATGATGACAACTGGTTTAGTATTTTGTTTTGGAAATGCCATACTTTTATATCGAACATTAAAATCAACACGTAAATTAATAGTGAAAATTCTTCATGCTGGTTTTCTTATAATATCATTAACTTTTGCTCTTGTTGGACTTGTTGCAATCATTCGATATAAAATGAGTCGTAGTTCAATACATTTTATATCATTTCATTCATGGCTTGGATTAACAACACTAATTTTATTCTTTTTTCAATGGATATTTGGTTTTGTAACTTTTTTATTTCCAAAATTAAGTTTAAAAATTCGAAGTGCATACATGCCAACGTAAGTTTTTTTTCTTTTCTTTTCTTTTTTAATAATTAATTAGTATTACTTTATTTTAGTCATCGTCTTTGGGGAAGAATTATATTTGTATTAGCTGTAGTTACAGTTATAGCAGGTTTATCTGAACATGGATATGGTTCATCATTTTTTACAACCAATGATGTTGAACAAAAAAGACGTTTAATTATAAATTTTTTTGGTGTATTTACAGCTTTATTTGGTATATTAGTTATTTATTTAGTTTCAACTTCTGATTATCAACGACCGCCTGATGAAAATGTTGACAAATGAATACAAAACATATAAACATTATTTTACAGAATTTTTTTCATTTTTTTTTATATTTTCCGATGTCTTTTTTAAACTCGATTGTGTTCATAATTTAAAGAATTAACATCAAATCTTCATTTGAAATTTTTCAACTAGATGAACTAGAGGACTTTGGTGTGTGAAAATTGACGTCGGTAGGATTAAACATATTATCATCTCAATATTTATTTTCTTCTTTTAATACTTTAATCTTTTATTCGATAAATATAAAAGAAAGTTGACGTATACTTCTCAAAATCATATTTATTCATAGAGTGCTCTCTCTCTCTCAATATATTATGCATACATTAACATTCATAAGGGTCTTCAACATGTGATCGATTTCTTTTTAATAGGTATATTACGTAACCGAGTGATATAAGCAATGATTTATAATAGGTATCAATGTGTGTGTGTTGACGTAGATGAGTGCTTACAATGCGATTCGATTTATTCATATCAATACCCACATCTATTATGATAGTTTTTGACTTCATGATTCGACTAATGTTTTAGTATTTCATAATGATAATGTTATCAAGTAGTTTACTGGTAAGCATTTAACTAAATAATATTTATTTCCTTTCTTTACTCATGTTATTTGAGAAATCTTTACAAAACACAACTTTCAGTTAAGTTTGACTTCTTTATAAATATTAAGGCATAAATGATTTTCTTTTATTTATTATTCCATAACAGATTCATACAGTTAATGAAATGAAATTAAAGTAGTTGCCAAACGATAATTATTATAAAAGTATTTCGAAAAGTTGTATTTTCAATTTTTAAAAACTATATATCATGGTTAGATAAGTGTACAGTTGGCAAAATTCTAGTTTTTAGTTATTAATCTGTTCCCATACAGCAGTTTCAATGTCCAATCTGTAACGTCTATGGTTTTTCAAACAAATTTCAATCATGTTTCGACCTCCGACTGTTTCTAATGTCGCACGATGACGTTCCGTACACCCCACTGGTCCATTGCCTGTCGTTTTTATCCGTTGTATGCTAAAATCTGATAGACGGAGACGATAGACATGAGTCTCTCTACGATGAGAGGATGTCATATATCCCAAACCACCAATAATATAGATGAATTCATCCTTGGTCTCATTATTTTTAACGTAAGTAGCTGTATGAAAATCTGTTGGTGGAAACACATGTTCAGGATATCCATAGATAGTAACATCTTCAACCTTCGTTGTTCCTAATATATCTGAACCTGATAAAGTGCCATGTTGTTTTCTTTCCAGTGGAAAGTTATCCGGTATAGGTAAAAAGTACATAGGTGGTCCTTGCACTATATGTGGATTTCGTATGACAACAACATCATTATAAATTTGAAAGTCATCATCATAACAATCTTCATGTTCACCTCCAATACGAATCAGCCGTCCATCTGGTAAATAAGTTTGTGTAGCTCCGAACCGAGAAAAACACCATTGAGGATGACAAGTATCAATGTCATCCACAACATCATCGTTATTGTTTTCGCGACCATCGTAGCCAATTAGATGTGGATCACATACCATACATTTCCAAAAAGGGTTTTCCATTAATGTAGGATTGTTCGTACCAAATTCACAATGTTTATTTTGATTATAATCATTCATAACTGTTTGTTGTGAAGCTGTAAAGTGACTGCAATGACTAAAAGTTATTGAAAATTTATAGGTAAAAAAAAGATTCGTTATTTCTCAGAGTGGGATGAAAAAACATTTTTCTTGTTGTTGTCGAAATTATGTACATGGCGTCATGTTTTATCATATCAGATATGAGTCAAAACTATGAAAGAAAGGGAAAAAACGCGATAGAATTGACTATCGTGCGGTTATGGGTATAGATAGCAGTGTAACTGTTAGGGGTGTTTTATAAATATAATACACACACCGTCTTACAAAATCTTTTCCAGTAACTGTAATGTGATGCGTTTACGTTTGTTTTCGAATTTTATCTTGATGGTGTGGGCGTGGGTGTGGGTGGATGAGAGATACTATATTTTCACACCCACCCTTCAAATGTTATGTTCTTCGTTGTCTGATATTGCTGCCATAAGCCCTTATCATGATACTATACAGGGATCGGTCGATCTTTAATTCAAACAGAACATAATTCAGGACTTTGCAGACTGATGCTACGATATTATTTAACAGAAATTGAACCCTATAATAAGAGTTTTATACTCGAATAGTCACAACTCGTCTTTAAATCACTTACACTACATTAGAGGAGTAGTAGTTTTTGTACTGTAATCTTTTTTACTAATCTGTTGAATAATACACGGATCCATTCTTACGATTTTAATAATGGTCACTGTTAGAGAATTCGTTTTATTCTTTAAAATTAAACGTTAAGGTGAAAAACAGAATAGAAAGAAAGAAAGATATGAGTAGCTTTGCGAGTAAACTGTTTGTCTTCTTAGGATGAAACACAAAAAATGCAAATAATTTTTGAGGGTGAGGATGTGGGTAGGTTTGTATCGACATGACTAAAGACACACCTATATTCACACTCGCACCCTCAAGATTTTCTTTCATTATAGACGACAAACAATGTTTTCTTCGCATATGTGATAGAACAATGGTGTTTTTACATAGTGTGACCTTCTTAAGCCATCAGTACTATAAGGTGGAGAGCTGAAATTGTATGTGGATGTGGGCACTTAGAAATTAATTACATAGATTTAATAAACGTAAACTTTTTCTGTTAGAAAAAACAAGCTTAATCGAATACAATATAAAATCATATATTGACAGGTACATGAAAAAGATAAAAGATGAGAAAGAAAGCTGCTGATGGTTAGATGACGAATATAATTCATATGAGCTTATGCCAATGGCGTACTTATATTCAAAACATATTGATGTTTATGAAAAAATATCATTATTATATCAAGAAAGTTTATTATTACTTTTAGGGTATCAGTGCCTTGAATTCATCACCCACATCTACCCTTCTAGTGTATTGTTTCATGCGGATTCTGAACATGATATTTATTTTGAATAATATTCAACTTTTGACAACCAAAATCTTGAAAAAATAATTCCAATAGTTGTTGACTATATTCGATGTAGTCACTCATAAAATCAAAAGTACTGTAATGTATGTGATAGAATAAAGATAATTTCTTGTCTGTGGGTGACATCTTTCCCACCAAATTGAAAAATTCTCAAAACAAAATAAAAAAATACTTTCGTATAAATCAATCATTAACTTCCATCATGAGAATAATAGAACTGAAAAAAATTATTAGTTGGATTTGTAACCATTTAAAATGAGGTGCTACGTGGGTAACTGCGTTCGTGTTTGCATATATATATATATATATATTTATATATATGATGAAAAACTGGGCTTTTACACTTGGTTAAAAATCAAATCGTTACTATACAGGTAAAACATTTTGCTTTGATCAGAAATGAAGGAAGTGGACGATTATACCAATGTTTTTTTTACTTCCTATTTTTATTACAGAAATATCATCGATCTAATAAAATTGTAGTCGCGAAAGAAAATAAAATATTTTATACATTAAGTTGAAATTTTTTCCAAACAAATATCTGAATAAAAATGGAATAAATCGTCATCACCTACGAATTGCTTTATATGTAGAAAAGAAAATGTTTATATATGCGTTCTTTCGTTCGACAAACAACGTGCACGAACGACAGAACGAAAAAAAACCACTAGTATTTTTCTCCTTCGTCACTGATAAAACCAGTTATTTTCATCGTTTTCGTTACCTTAAATGTTTAAAAACATACCGATTTTATTCATCATAAGATGGCGCTTGCTGAATCGCAATAACCCGTTAGCTTTGTTATTTATTCTAAGTTTTTAATTGACAGCATTTCAGCTGAGAATAAGGTATTGTCATGAAATTGATGAATTATTTAGGCTCAAAATCTAGCGATGCGACCTGTTTTTTCCTCATATATAGTTATTGATTTAGAAAAATTGTTTAATAAGTGAAATATCAGAATAAACCTGATAACGAAAACAAAAGAATAGTGAAAGATTTTGTTTGTTAGGATTGACCGCAAGTAGCCTACACTCTCTAGTGTTAACAATTTGTATGATTGTGAAACCGTATTATCCTTTCCATTTTACATTTGATTTAGTTATCATCATATAAATTATGTCGAACACAAATATTGCTGAACAAGCTGCTGCGCCAGTTATCAGTGAAAATCCATCTGTTGTACAACGTTGGGAACGTGATTTTTCTCAAACAAAAACTGATGGAATTGTATATGATTATATAATTGTTGGTTCTGGTTCAGCAGGTGCTGTTTTAGCCAATCGTTTATCTGAAGATAATAATAAACAAGTTCTTCTAATTGAAGCTGGTGGTGCCGATACAAATGATATAATCCATATGCCAGCTGCATGGTAAGAGAAAGAATTTTATATGCCAAGAATTAGAACATGTATCGTATGTATTTTAGTGGAAATTGTCAACGTGGTGATATTGATTGGCAATATAAAACTACACCTCAAGTTCATTCACATTTTAATTGCATTAATCAACAAGGTAATTGGCCGCGTGGAAAAGTACTCGGAGGTTGTTCTTCGATCAACTATATGCAATATGTTCGCGGTGATCCACATGATTATGATAATTGGGAATTACCAGAATGGTCATTTAAAAAAATGTTACCATATTTTAAAAAATTAGAACGAGCTGATATCAATTCAATTCCAGAAAATGATAAATTTCGTAATCATGATGAAAATAAAGGTATGATGGATGTCACTCTATTAGAAGATTCAAATGAAATCAATCAATTATTTATTGAATCATGTGAAAAAAATGGATTTCATCAAACGAAAGATTACAATGCTGAAGAATCTCTCAATGGATGTGTAACATTGTCACAAGTTTCAACTAAACATGGAAAACGTTGGTCAACAGCAAGTGGTTATTTGTTATCGGCAATAAAACGAGACAATCTTCATGTATTAATTAATGCACATACTTGTCGTGTCTTAGTCGATGAACAAAAGCAAACAAAAGGTTTGAAATCCATGTTTTTTGCGTTTTGTTCTAAAATGAATATTTTCTATATATTTAGGCGTCGTTATTAAACGTGCCAGTTCACTTGATAAAGAAGAAGTTATTCAGGGTAAAGAAGTGATTCTATCAGCTGGTACTGTTGGAAGCCCTCAGATACTTCTTTTGTCTGGAATTGGTCCTCGTGATGAATTAGAAAAACTTGAAATTCCAGTTATTGTTGATCTACCTGGTGTTGGAAAGAATTTACAAGATCATATTATGACTGTTCTTATTTATACAACTAACATATCAACCCTTTCAACTCGAGATTTAACTGTAGAAAATTTACAACGATGGGCAGTTGAAGGAAAAGGTCGTCTGACATCGTGCGTTGTAGAAGCAGAAGCTTGGCATCAAATCGATGGAACTGGTAAGTTCTCCTGAAAGTGAAACGTGTCTGAAGTGTACTCGAGGTGATCACAGAAATCTCTTTCATTGCCCTCCGATCACCAAATATTTTCTCTAAAGAATTGTTTTTTTTAGATAAAAATCAAGTACCTGATATCCAAGTACATTTTTGTCCACTAACAGTCGATGCTAATCTTTTGCAAAATTTCAATTTTAAACCCGAAGTATACGAACAATATATCGGTCCACATCTTTGTGGTGAACATCAATCGACGATGGCCTATCTTCCTACTCTTCTTCATTCAAAATCTAAAGGTGAAATAACTTTAGCAAGTCGTGATCCTCTTGCACATCCAAATATTAATCCAAAGTATTTGGAAGATAAAGAAGATGTTCGAAAATTAGTTGAAGCTTGTAAATTAGCTAAGAAAGTTTGTCAAACTGAACCATTGAAAAATGTTGTTCGTTCATTGGCAAAAGAAATGAACGGAAACGAAACAACTGAAAATGAAGATCAATTTTGGGAATCATATATTCGTAAATATACAATCACAGTTTATCATCCTGTAGGAACATGTAAAATGGGAAAAGAAGACGATGGAATGACAGTTGTTACATCTGATACAAAAGTTAAAGGTGTTAAAGGTCTACGTGTTATCGATGCAAGTATCATACCAATTAATGTATCGGGTAATACAAATATTCCAACGATTGCAATTGCTGAAAGAGCAGCAGATTTAATCAGAAATAATCATTAAACCAAAACAAACATGTTTCTTTTTTAATCTTTCAATAAAATCGAGAAAGTCATCTCATTCTTATGGGATTTGACTAATACAATTAAACTTCTTGTCTCGAGCGCATCTCACCTAAGTCCTATCGAAAAACCTTTACTCTATATAGAATTCATACAAAAGACTAGAAGACGTTTCTCAACAGTTTCATTGAGAAAAAAATGAACACGTCAGTGGAATGTACCAGACGATTATGGCAGAACGGTGTACATACAATGTTGCAATTCTAAAAGAATACGTATATAATCGATAGATATCTAATAATAAATATGAATAGAACGAAAGGAAAAAATGTATAAAATAATGCGACATTGAAAAAAAGAAGGAAAGAATAGACACGTGGAAGGGCATTAATATTAATATTGTATAAATGGTGAAGGCAAAAGAGAAAAAAAATCGAACGTAGCGCAATACATTAAGTCACAAATATTCTTTTTTTTCTTATAACGCACACGAAAGAATACTGAAGAAAGCAAAATATGTCTTTAAGATTGATAACTAGTAGTTTATTTTCGATTCGTAAGGTAAGATTTAAGTTAAAAAAATAATTTTTTTTATTTTTTGTATTTCATTAGGCTTTTTCAATTCCAGCAGTTATAATAAACAGATCAGTCTCAACTACAGGCGCTTCATATGAATGGAAAATCTTAGCACTTGGTGCCGGTAATAAAGTAGTTCCGGAAGCACAGAAATCTTTAGTTGCATTAGGATATAAAATATTAAAATTATTGGTCTTGTTAACAACAAGGAAAGTGATCAAAAAGTAATTGCTGCACTAAAAGAACAACAATGGGATGCGATATCTATTGGTTAGTTGGATTCTTCTAAATTTATATAATCTGTCTTATTTTCATTGTAGGCGATTATGTCAATGGTTTTGATCAATCTGTTCCATATCATGTAGAGGATGTGCCAACAGATCGTGCAGATATACTCCACTGGTTTAATCGTCTTCTCAATGTTATACATCAACTAGCACCTAAATCAAAAATTATTCTTGTTAAATCACCACAAGATATACATGATGGAATTCAAAGAATTATGGTTAAAGAACAAAAACAAAATTGAAAACCATACCAGCAGCTTAAATAGAACAAAAATTCCTCAACATTTATTAGTATATTAATTTAGAAATAAAACATTGATTTTTTATATTCGTTAAAATTGTTTATTTCGATTTGAAATAAAACGATGATTAAAAGATGATAATTCCCATAGATGGTCACATATATAACTTCATCTCAATAGACCAGTGATACCTATCATCTTTTCTAATTCCAATTCATTTACGATAGAGTTTACAACGTTTAGAAAAATCTTTTCATGTTTTATATAGATGAAATCAAAATTAATTTCTCTCTTTTACGTCTGGATTCCGTCATATCGTGAACAGCAACATTATTTCTCATCCTTTTTCATAAACCTCTATTTCAGAAGTCGGTAAAATAAGAATTGCACAATCCTAATTATCATCAAAAGCGCACGCTTCATATTTTTAAAGTTTCTTATGCCAGTACCGAAAGCTAATAACAGAACACTAAATTATCAATTGTGTGAATGTTTGTCGACATTTTACAAGTCAAGACTATACATGTCTTTTCTCCTCTTTTTCTAGAAAGTGTCGATGAAATACCAGATGTTGTGAGTGATAATTTGACGTGTTAACAACGTTAGATCTATTAACAGAAGCAAAGTCGACGTTTTGTCATTTGAATTTTGAAGGAAGCAAAAATATATAATTGCCACCTGTTTCGCTATTTAAACTTTGTTTCGCAATTCTTCCGCTTTTCAGCAGCATTTGCCTTCAACAGCCGTTTCTTTTAGCAAAAATGAACAAAATGTGAATGTGGATCATTCAATATATATATTTAATGCTGTTTTGAATCCTATTCTGTTGGTAGTTACTGAGTTTTTCATAACAAAATTCAACGATTACGCGTTCAGCAATTGGAATGAATAATAAGCTAGATTTACTCAGCGAAACTTGTCGTTGCATTCTTTTATATTTTAGATTAAAATTGGCGGAGTGTTATAATGCAAATACCATTACTTGTTCGTCTACTCTTAATTGCTTATATTATGATCGAAATATATATCTGCCAAGGAGCTAGAGGTGGCTCTCGTAGAAGTGGTGTACGAGGTGAGTATCTAAAGTAGTTAATAGAAAAGTAACCTTTGTTTAAATGAATATAGGTAGCCGCAGTAGTGGTTATTATGGAAGTGGATCGAAGAAAAATCGCAAGATTGATATTATTGTGGGTAGCATTGCTGGGGGTTGTGCTGGTTTGGTTATCCTATTTTTGTTTTGCAGATGTTATTCAAAACGTAGAAGAAATAGGGCAAACAGCCAAGTACTGAATGTACCAGCCGAAGATGTTTTTCGATCAGGCATTTGGTCCAGTCGAAATTATCAGTATGATAAATGGCATGATTGGTATCAGCTTTCTCTATTATTCGATCCTCGTATATTCAAAGTGAGTGGAAGTGGATCTGACGAAGATGGTACATTTACGGTCGTTGGAACTTACTCGAATAAAAGATGCCGAATGAATCTAACAAAAACCTATCAGCGGAGTATAGGTGACGTAACGATTCAACTGACGTGGAACACAACGGCGAGTCATTTCGAAGGTGAATGGCGTGTGAAAACGAGCAGATATCAAGAGAAGAATAAATGTCAACTGAAATTCGAGAGTTCACAACAGCGGTCGATAAATCTGGTATTTTAGTTGTTCAATTATCTTTTTAAATAAAACATTTCATCGAGATGATAAACCGTCTGATACGTCTGCTTTTCATATTCTACTTCGTTCTGATATATTTTCTTTATGCTTTGTCGTATTAATAAAACTGTCGATTCGAAACGAGAAGCCATTTATATCTTGAGGATAGGTATGGGTGAATGTGAGTGTATTCTGTTCACGAACGCTACAGTTCCCACTCACATATATCTCCATATAAATTTTCGCTTTTAGTCATGATTAATAAGCATTTATTTTAATTAGTTTTTAACAAATAATTAGGTTAGAAGATAAAAACAAGTTAAATAATGTTGAAAGTTCATTTACATGAAATTATATGTTTGACTTCATTTCGAAATGTGTTTGACACGAATAAATCTATATAGGAATTAACACAAAATGGTATATAAGTGCTGAAGATCGCAACATTTCTTGCAAATAAGTCAATTTGTATCTGTTCAAAATATTTCGTATCATTTTGTGTAATTTGTTCGTACATCGCTACGGCTGTTAACATAAAACTAAATACGATATAAATAATGATATTCACAAGTAATATAAGTACAAGTTGACGATCTTTTGAGTTAAGTAAAGTCGTCGTAGTATTTGTTGTCCGAACTCTCGGTATGATTAAATGAGGATTAACTCTTATACGACGTATATTTCGAATATTTTTTATTGTCCACAATCCGAAAGATGCCATTAATAAAGGTGCCAAGATTCCTTTGATAATAAGTGAATAATAGGCTATGAATGTAAAATATATACCCGGTGAAAAATAACAATATAAGTAATTCGATTCAACTTGTAAAATATTTGTCCAAACTAATGCATGACTCTGAAATAACATCCAGAATAAAGCTCCTCCTAGGATACATTTATAAGCAAGACGACAAGTACTTCGTTGTCGTACAGAACCATTTGATGAAGTAATTAAAATTCGATCAACTGATGCCATTATTAAATAAAATGGGCTAAGGCAATCAAATAGAAATGTAGTATAGATAAGTAACCGACGAATCGGGAGATTTTCTGTGACAAAATGAAGCGCATATCCTAATGAAAGTGATGTTGGCAATATCGATGCGTAAACATAGAGAAAATTAATAACATTAAATGCTACAAAATAAACTGAACAAGGATTTTTACGTAGAACCTTTTTACAAAATACAGTTAAACTAATTATAGAACTTGTCGTTCCTATAATTATTATAATTGGACCACCAATACGATATAAATTTGTTTGTATAGATGTTAATGATGCGGTGAAGTCAATTGATGAAGACATTTTCAAGATTTTGTTGTTGTTGTTGTATAAGTCGTTTATTCTTAAATGACGACTTATGAGATTTTCTTTCGATAATTAAAAAAATTTCATTAGTTGAAGCATAGAAATCGGATTATTTTAAGTAATAAGACACGGACAAGCAATTATTTTCTCACTACACAAGCTTAGTAATCAGTCTTTTCTTTTTAAAATTCAATTTCATCGTATTAGTGAAAGTTAAATAAATCTTCTCGAGGTACCAACGTTATTCATAGGATTATATTTAATAAAATATTAAAGATAATCAATGTATTGGAGCTGCGTCATATTCAATAACAAATGAAAAATACAAGATATGAAAAGATTACTCAATTTGCATCGACTTTACTACATGATAAATATATATACCTTTATATCTTTATTGAAAATATGTAGTTATTAAAAAGAAAAATGAAACTAAATCATTCAATAATTTCTAAGTAACAAAGAATAACGATTTAATTAACCGAAACGTTTAGTGCACACATCATGAAAGTTGAAAAATCAGCAATATTAGCACAAATATCCAAATTTATAAGGTATATAGGTTGTCTTCACTAATATCCACTTTGATCATCTTAAGGATGTGGATCGAAATGTAAGTCTAATTCTTAGTTACTTCCCACATACGGGTTGACTCATACTCGCATACCTTGCTTCCAACTTCACGAGTTTTTCTATCTCATTAGTTTTTTTTCATCATCTACCTTCTTCCAAATATACAACACTTTCATTTATTATTCCTGTTTGTCCTTCGACTTGTTTTACGTCTTCAGAATATAAACAATTTTAACTATTATTGCGTTTTGTCCTTCGACTTGTTTTATTTCTTTCGTTGTTTACACTCATTTTAGTCCTTCAAATGCTTTTATGTTTCTTATAGTTGTTTTACATGTATTACTTATTTGAAATCTTTTTTTGTGTTATGTCTTTATTTAGTTCCTTTGATTGCTTGTGCTTTTCTCTATTTTTATACTCTTTTTATTTCGATACCTCTCATATATTTTCGTTCACTTTCTTGACTTCGTACACTTCCCTGAATCGTTATAAGTAATATTCATTGATAGTCGATTCACTTGAGAATACAAAATGTCCATCTTTAACACAAGGTACTACATAACTACCTCATTCGCTCTTGAATAAACTGTTTTTGGCAAGATGCTATGTTTTAAGACAAAACGTCATCTTCTTATTTTATCAATATATCTTCAACCTCCGAAATATCGAACTATCATGCAAATCGATAGTTTTTCAGTTAAATGACTGTAGTAATTACATCTTATTTAGACATACCATACTACTATGTACGTACCAGCTATTGAGCACAAGGTGAAGTCATTCGTTAATGGTATTAGGTAAGACTACTCCAACTAGCACACTCTATATCCATATATGATACATTCATTTTGTATTCTTTTTAGCAAGCATTCCATTTATTTAGAAGACGACGAAAGTATCGAAGAACCTTTGTATGAAAATGAGCGTAAACTTCTCATTATGGGCTTGGAAGGAAGTGGTAAAACATCGTTAATTAATAATTTATGTGGAACATCATATCCTGCAGGAACGAATCGATATGGTTATAGAATTGGTGATGATCAAAGAGGATCTTTTAGGACAATTTCTCCAGCTTGTGAAATTACTCTTTATGATACGAATGGTTTGAAAATCAATGAGCCTGGTAAATGGCATGAACATCTTAAAAGTACACTTGAAATCAATGGTGTTATTTTTTTTATTGATGGCCATGATAAACGATGCAGTTTACATGGTGATTTACCAAGATTAATTGAATACTGTCGAAACTTAGAGTTACCGATACTATATCTATTCCGATCAGACGTAGTTGATTGGTTCGATGAAGAATGTACTCCTGATAATTTGGTTAATGCTAAAAAAGTAGAAAAGAAGGATCATGGAAATGATATTGCGTACTACTCTCAAAAAGACAAAAATCGTTTAAAACAAGTTATTGCTGATCGATTTGCTCTTGCTACGACAGCTAAAGCACTTATTGATCCTGTTCAGTTAGCAACAAAAATACGAGAGATGGAAAATCGTCATGAACAGGAGATTAAAAAATTGAAGGATGAACATCAACAGATAATCAATGAAAAAGAATCATTTTATAACAATCTGGAACAGCTATATGAAAACAATAAAAAACATTTAGAACATTTAAAACAAAATCTAACTGAAACTCAAAAACTTTATGAAGAACTTAAGAATAAGAATGAAACATTGTCTACGACAAAGAGAAGATTACAGCAAGAGATTGACGAATTGAAACGAAAAAAGCACAACAGTCTACAAACTATTAAGAGAACAATGAATTATTTACGTATAAACGTAAACGAAGTTGCGATGCCGAACATACGTGATGATGGAAAACTACGTGTTAGAAGTAAAAAGCATAAATGCAAGAAACACAAAGCATGGTTGCCTTTTATGGGTGTTGGTATCTCTAATGACTATGATATTCTTAGTGAGAGAATCGCTGAACTTCTTAATGGAATTGTTAGTAAGTTAGAAGACGTAGATGATACATAAAATCTCATCAATTTCTTGTAACGTTTTTTTATTGAAATATATGCACTATTAGTTAATATCATCAGCAACTAGTGAAAACTTGTTGTCTTGCAAGTAGAAATATTATAGTAAATAATCGACAAATGATTACTAAACCAATATAAAGAGTAATCAAAGTTGCAATTCCTTCTATGATATTATTCTTATTATTTATATAAGAATAAGTGTTTGAGAATGATACGTATTGATTAGAATACAATTGAGAGAAGAGATATCAACACCTGCACTCACATACACGCCCACACTATTGAAATGAAATAGCTTTAAATGAACTTCTTCAAAATTTAAAATTATTTTTAATCAAGCTGATATATAAATGAATGGAAAAATACAATGAAGCTTGTATGATGTCTGATTTCTTGTTTGCACTAACTATAATCAGCAATAATTTCGTTAGCTGCTCGGTCTCCTTCTGAAGCTGCACCTTCCATAAAACCTTGCAAATCAGGCGATGTGTAATCTCCTGAAAAATGTATATTCATTTGTCGTTCTTTTTCATAACCAGATATTGTTGAATATTGTCCAAGTGTGTAAGCTGGATATGATCCCAAAAAATGTTTATCAACCCATGGTGCTGAAATGGTACCTTTACCAGTATAATATGTGGATGCATTTGGCCATATTTCATTTAAATCATCTAAGAAACCTTCGATATATAAAAATGTATTCTTATTACAATTGCTAGTTGTCAATGTATTAATTCCTTTTTTTGGTTCAAATGAAGTTCCGATTATCCCACCTAAAATAAAAAGAAAATATTTAGAAATATTTGATAGTGCGAAATAATTTAATTCTTCATTGAAATATATAAAAAGTTTTCTTACCGGTAAATAGAGTAAGTATTCCTGTTTCACCTTTTTGACCACTTGTCGCTTCCCATGAATTGAGAAAAGGTAAATCTGTATAAATGACTCCGTCGGATGATAATTTTAACCAAAAACGTTCTTGAAACTGTAAATTAAGTTTTGTTGTTGTACCATATCGTAATTCATTAATAACTCGTTTCTTTAATGAATCAAATTTAGCTTCGCTATAATCGACATATTTTAATGTTGTCGTTGGTAAAGTTAAAATAACATGATCATATATGTAAGTTTCATCATTTTGAAAACGTAATGAAATTTTTTTATTATCATTTATTGATATTTTAGTTAAATTATAGTTGAGATTTATTGAAATTTTGTGTTTCATTAAATATTTAGAAATAGCTTCTGGTAGTAAATAATTTCCGTCTTTAATTCGGTAACGTTGATCAGAAGGACCATAAATAGATAATGGACCGTTTTCTGGTTGACTTTCAGGACTGATAGCGAAAAGAAAATTTAATGAACTTTGCTCACGTGTATCTAAACCGTATTCTTGTGTATAAGCAGAATCAATATATGCACCAAATTGTGATTGATGGCCATTTGGTATATAATTCTCTATCCAATCATAGAGCGATAAATTATCAAAATATGTTGCATCTGAATTAGTTTCATTATAACTAACATCACCAATAAGTTCTAATTGTTGTTTTATTGTGTCACTGATTGCCTGATAATCGCGCCACGCCTCGGAAGCGTTGTAAAACTGTTTTAGGAAATAATATGTTCCACGAGAACCATCTGAATCCGTTGGATCGATCGTATCAATCAATGACAAATTGAAACGTTTAGTTAAATTCATCATAAAATCATGATTACTATCAAGAAATTCACCACACCATTCTGATGTTTGATATTCCGGTAACCATAATGTTGTATGCATTCTACCTCCAATATAGTTGTTAGCATCGTAGATGTGAATATTTTTCGGAGTAAACAATTTCGAATCTAATAATGTCAAAGCGGCACTGAGACCACTAATACCTCCTCCAACAATAGCTATTTGAAGTGAACGCGTATCTTCTAAAAATAAATACGACATATAATTTTTCAAGTTCAAAGTAGCAATAAGAAATTGTAACCCTGGAATTTTTCTATTTAGAGCTATCGAAACGTACATAATCATTTTCCTTTTGTTAAATTTTAGAAGCTAGGAATAATGAATCACTGCATAAACACCACATAGTATTTGTCTTACTTGAGCGTTTTGTTCGTGGTCGTTGACTTTTATGGCTATTATATGAATATCTCGGTGATTTATGATTGTCTTTCATTTCCAATTCATAGTTTTCAATGTTATTAACGAGAAATTCACGACGTTTTCTAATGATGAATGAGCGATAACTCGTACGAACACCATCCGTAAACATACCCGTCTGACGGTTAGTTCTTGGCATACCAGGTTTCTTTACTATAGCAAAAAGGAAATAGATAAAAAGTATGTGGGTGTGGGTATGAGTGAGGAAGTAAGTGGGCGTGAGTGGATAAGGAATTTCACCCACATCCACATCCGCACCCTAGATTCCT